AAAAAAAAAACTCAGTGAAATGCCCTAGTGTTCAGAATACCTGAACTCTACTAAATCAAGCTCCTAATTTGTTCACGGTCTGAAAAAATTCAGAAAACTGAACAAGTCCCTCGAATCGTTTCATTCATACCTATCGCCGACACCAAGTTCTGGTTGTGCCATTCCCAGGAACTGACAACATTTCCGGTTATCTCGATTTCGGTTGGCGCAGTACAATATGTTGCTGAGATATTTCAGGTCGCATACATCCTGTTGTATCGCCTGAATTAGTGTCTCCGCTGCGACATGTTCGCGATGCTCGTATGTACAAAGGCTGTGGCAGTTCGACGGCACCTGGGAAATTTTTGAATAAAAGAGATTCCGAAAAAATTAAGATGGTAAAAAATGAAAATAGAAATCCCAACCAGTGCAATAACTTGCCCCGAAAAGTTAAAAATTTAGAAAGGCCTAATCTATTAAACCTCGGTTTTTCCTGGTTTTTTATGCCTTTTTGCACATTCACGCAAGCGCAAAAACCCATACTGACAAGAGATTGTCCGTGTATGTGCGTGCATGAGTTTCTGTTCGCGCTTTTTCGCCCACTTTCAAGTTAGCAGCTGGTGAAGCTAGGAGGCCTTTGGTTTCAAGTACGAATTCCTTAAAAAATTTGTGCAAATTTTTTGGCGAGAAAGCGATTTCTGAAAACAGGCAAGTTAGGAAGCTGAAACTTTATATGAATATTTTTTGCTCTAGTATAGCTAAAGTTTTCAAATCCAGCTTGACGCGTACATCGTGAGTGGTGACACTCAAATTTCGATTTCGAGGCAGCTAGCAAAGTGGCAATTCAGGAACTGGGCTAAATAGATTCCTTTAGTTTAACGGGAACAATTGCTGCACACATACATGAAATGAGTACTTGCGTACATCTCGCGTACCAGCATATCAATTCGATTTTGAGGAAAGGCGATTTTGAGAGTGTACTGAAGTGGAAAGCTGAAATTTTCTGGGATATGATGATTTGTAACTGGATCAATTCATCGTCCACACAAATTTCAGATCTCACATGTGAGCAAGCGGCCCGTTCAGCAGGAAACAGGCACCTGCGGTTCGCGCCTTGTGCTCTGATCCATTAAATGTTGGCTGCTGTAGACACTTGTCAAAGTATGAAACCAAAAATGCAGAATTAATTTACGTCCATGCCATTTCCTTCAAAATGGACGAGCTGACTCCAGCTGCTAAATGCAGCTAGCTGGACGAATTTCATTTTGGCCTTCTGCACTTCACGTTACACTATACAAATAAGCCATGCGACTTTTATATGTTTGTATATTTTTATTAATATTTCACTAATATAACTCACATGCTGTTGGCAACACGCCAAAAAGAGTTCGTCCACTAGTTTCCTTGACAAACATGGTGAATATGGTGGCCGGGAAGTCTCGACGCCGCAATCGGATGATAGCTTAGAATCGGAATCTTCAGTAATCGGATATCGTTGATTGAGATGGATGTAGTCGCCATAATTTTTATGTGTTATTGCTGAAGTTTAATTCCTTCAAAATATGTTTAATAAGGCTTACTGAACGAGGCACTTTCAACTAGAGACAACAGATGGACAAAGCGAATTATTGACCAGTAACGTAATATTGAAAAAAAAGGTCACCAGTGTTATGGAAGGATTCAGTTATGTAAATATTATTCTCATGTTATTCAGTTTCCCTTAACAAAACCATTTATCAAATTTCCTTTGTTCCCCTTTATCTTTTTTTCCCATCCTTAACGTAACCCCATGGAGCCTTGCATAAATACAAAGCCAGTACTGACATTTGTACGATAACTGTCTTTTTGTATCCAGCGACTACAGCTGGATACAAAGGGAGCAAACATGGCGGGACATCTCCTCTTAGGGACAGGACCTATCTCCCCTACACAACCACTGGTTTTCTTCATTCTGCGTCTTTTTGCGGGCATTCGTCTTATACTTATCTGAGTCTTCGATCTTCGGTTCGGAACTCGCTTCAGTGCACCAGACTCGACTTCCGGAATTTGCTACAAATCGTCTGCCCCCTTGAACAGTCCCGGCCGTCTAAACGCCGTTCGGATCCGACCAATTCTACCGGTCCCCAACCAGGTCTTTTCAATTATATTGTTGTTTAACTTACTTATTTCCCTAACCAAGTTTAGATAAATTTAATATGATAAAAACCACGCTTTGCGCTTCATTTTGCCTAGTCACAACGACCCTGTAATACCTTACAGCAACTCATCAAAAACATTTACTGTTGAATGGCTCTGTAGAGTGATGCGCGCTGAAAACCAGGGACTGAGAATGGAGAAGCCGCTGGTTGCAACACTCGCGATAATAAACGCTGATCAAAATGTCAAAGTAAGCACCGCTAAATTTCTACTTTGCAGACGACACAGTTATTATTGCAGGTAGCTTTCGCGTGACAAACGAGGCGTTGCAGGAGCTCAAGTGCAAACTAAGGAAATGTGCTTGAAATAAGTATTCGAAGACGAAAGCAATGTGAAGCATTGAAAAACAATGGAGGAAAGGATACGTACTGCACTTATAGGCGGTCTAAAGGAATCAGATTCTCTCCTTAAATGAGTAAATTGCAAGATAACAGCGTTACCACGTTAGAAAGCATAGCTGGTTGCAGGAAAGTCAGGAGGTATAAGACAAGTTTTACATACGCGTGTGAAATTCTGGGTCTGGCTGGCAACTAATAAACAAATCTTTTAAGTCGACACAAACTTAGCAGTCTAATAGCCTACTTTCACGTTGAGCCTCTCCAGAATCCACATGCCCATCGCTTGAAAGTTGAAAGAGCTTCTGCGGCGAAGTTTTTGGTCCAACAAGAATAGCTGGTTTTTTCGCTTGTTGACGACGAGGATCCTGGGTTGTGAGCTCAGGTAATGTTGTTGGCATTGTTGTCAAAGGAGGGTGGGTCTGAAATCGCAATTAATGCAAGGCAAAACAAAAGCAAATAACTAAGGACTAGTAGCCGAGTTGGACGTGTGGTTGCATCTCAAAACCTGCTTAGCACCCAAATCTGCAACTCAACATTTTGCAGTTGCTGGGCTTAGTCGAATAAAACTGATTGGGTTTTTTCTAAAATGTTGCTTCCTGTCGAAATGAAAATTGACTCGTGTTTTTAGAAAGCTTCCCGATTTTAACTTCCTGTTGAATGCCGAGGCAGTGGTGGTAGCAAATGGTAGCAGCAAGCATTCGCTGAACAAAACAGCCACTCGATGGCTCCCTTTTTCAAGAGTTGCGTAGAAGCAACCATTGATGACTTCCTGACGTGCACCAGTATCAATTTATTATCGAAACGAACGTTCAGATCATAAAGGGATTTGTTGTCTTACTGGTAAAGTTGAATTTCTAACCTTCAACATGAGAGCAGCGCTGCATGCCAGTGAACTATGAGTTTGTAACAAGATGGAAAAAAAGTACAGCACACGACAAGTTAGCGAAACAGGGTCGAGAATTCGTTTTCTTTAGACCAATTTTTGTTGCAAGAAAAAGCATTAAAAAATATTACTTGTTGATTTGGTGTAGTTTTTGGTGTTGTCGTTTTTCCGTCAGCATTGTTGGAACCGGAGATAATTTTATCGTAATTACGCATTTTATGTGGGCATTTTTCGGCTACATAATCCAAGCAACCAGTAAGACATTTATCCAGAACACGTTCAGTACAGCACAGCAATTTTGGGATATGTTCACATGCCGGAAGACGATCCTTCGCCGAAACTACCGTTGAAGCTGCCACCACAAATAATGTTCTATTATGAGTAGATATTTTTTAGCTTTTATTGACATAAGATATTTCAAGCAATAAAAATTAGTTGGGCAATGCTCACTTTGTATGGTACCTATTATATTTGGCTTAGTTGCAATAAGCAGTAAAAAAAAATTTTTAGCAAGACTGCTTAAAAAAAAGAGTTTATTTTAAACTACTTGAAAAAGTGGCGAGCCGAAACTTCTGCGATCAAGTTAGCGCAAATTTCAAGAACACCGAGACAATCAGAGTGAGTATCATACGTTGATGATATTATTGGGATGCCTGTACATGCCAATTGCAATTATATCAGGCCCTTCGAACCTAGGTTGCTTGTCTCCAATTAGCACCCACTGCCTATTCGCTAAATTTTCGCCATCACTTCAATAGAGTTATCAAAGTGGGTCGCTTTTTCCCATCGGGTACTGCTCAACATTCGGTTATTGTGGAAAATGCTAACAGCTCCCGGAAATTATTGGCCTGACTACCACGATACGTGTACCTTTCCTTTCCTCTGTTTCTCATTTCCTCTTTTTTCCTTCTTCTGACAATTTTCAATTTTTCCAAATTTTTCCTCGTTCAGAGAGAAAATGCAAAAAAAAAAAAACATCTCATTTGCTATGTCTTTGTCCACTGCACTTCTGTTTTGTTTTTCGTTAAAATAACGAAAAATTGCTGGTGGCGGCACTGAATTGTTATGTCTAGCATGTGGCATTTAACGGACGCATGGAACCTGGTGGAAATATTGTTTTCTATGCACGCTTAAACAATGGAAGTCTTGAAGCACATGGGGAAACCGGTTACGCGCTGGTCATTCAAACATTATGTCACCAAAACAAGTTCTCCGTTAACAAATGGTCGTTTCTATCAAATAAAGCATTTTTTCTGCCGCATTTTTACCTCACTTATTTATTCACTAAATGCCTCACTTGGTAACCCACTTATTCATTAGTTTATTACCTCATTTATTAACTCATTCACTATTGCCTTACTTATTGACTCATTTACTTAATTTTTTGCCTCCTTTTTATTTATTTATTAACTCTCATCTTTGATATATATATATATATATATATATATATATAAATGTATATATGTGTATGTATATATTTGCTTATTTTGACTTATCTGCTTTATTTATTACTTACGTTTGCTTACTATTTATTTACTGATATGTATATATAAATAAAACTCTTATTTTGTGTATTGACTCTTTTGCTTATTACTTATAACCTCTTTTATTTATTACTATTTATTGACTCAATAACTTTTTGCCTCGCTTAATAACTCGCATATGTGCTTTCTTTTTGTGCTTTCTATGTTGTAACAGTTCCAGAAAAATCGAGGGGAGGTTGAAGTTTTGAGGTAATTTTCTCGATTCACGTAAAACTTGAAGATTTCAAATTCAGTCCACAGGTGTGCGTACACGATCCTTAAGTGCCGGTCCGTGAGAATTTTTGGCGGGAAAATCGCGAACCAGAGATCCAGAGAAATTTCAACGATATTCCCGGTTCACACGGTCAACGTAAGGATTTCAAATTCAGCCTCTAGGCATGCACGATTCTCAAGTACAGGCATGTAGAAATTTTAAAAGGGGAACTGGTCATTGATGAGCTAGACCATTTTCAGGGATGACCGTTAAAAGTATTTGTTCTTTTTCGTTTATGCAAAACTTAAGGTGATTTACGCTAGTAAGCACAAAGGCAATTGTAAAGCAGTAGCCATTCATATAGTTAACGGTGTGGTTAGTTCGAGTTTAATGCAAAAACGCACAGTCGCATTCAAGCCTAACGTGTCCCACCCTAGGGTTTTCTTTAGCAAGACAGGTTTGTTCAATTTTTTATTCGTTTATGTATTTCTTTGCTCAACTATTTCTTTCTAAAACATTCAGTTGTGTTTGTTTTTTAATGCTTCTTTTTATTTGCTTATTAATTTCTGCTAAAACTTGATTAATTGTTTGTCCGTTATATGTATGACAGAATCGTGAACAGACTGACCACTAAAGCAGCACTGGTCAAAGCAACTGGAAAAATTGCCAGCTGCATTAGTTGAAAAATCAGACTTCAAACTGCAGCTGATCAAAGTATTGAAAAAAAAATAATGCAACAGATTTTTGCTAGAATGGGACTCCAGTCAATTAGCTGATTAATAAAAAAACCTATAAATCATTTCTTGCCGAACAGACCACCGTAGTTTGAAGAGCAGCTGCAACTTGCTCCCCCAAATAGGCCACCACCAGATGGATGCGATTCGTGTCTGTCCTGCAAGAAACTTGCATATTCTAGACAAAAGTTTTAGGTGATTTTGTGGGAAAAATAATAAAGCACACGTACAGCCTGCTGTCGATTGGTGCCAAAAAGTCCGCTGCCCTGTGAATCACCACTAACACCTCCGACACCACGTGTTGACCAGCTGCCAATGCCGCTCAGACCACTGCCTACTCCGTAACTGTTTACGCTGCTGCAAATGAATCAAGCAAAATCAAGAAGCACACAGCCTAAGGGACCCAAACTTTTTAATCGTAGCTGATGTCTTATTGCCGGTGAGCACAAACATTTCTCATACGATTCGATGGTAAATTGGCGCTGACGTTTACGCCAGGGAGACAAACCCGCCATCAGCCCGTGACAGCCCTGCTAGTGAGTGATTGCTGTTGGCATTTGCTACCACTCGGGCCACTTTTTGAGTGCATTTCTCTTTCATTGAGAGCGAAATACGGAAGGGTAGGCTTCAGCAGAATTTACATATGTACTGTGGGTTTAAATATTTGGTACTTCTAATATACTTCACTGTTAGTTAATATCTACTCCTGAAATAGTGTTCATGATTCTGCTTAAGCCTAGTAAGTATTTAAGCATCTAATATTTGGTATAAAGTTAAGCGGTTCTGGAGCCAGGATTTCATTGAAGCCCGGGACATTTTTAAGATATTTTCACGGAAGGAGAACGATGTTACATTTATTGTTACATTTACTGGAAGCGATGGCGCAGCACTTGCCAAAACAACTGGAAATGTTGCTAGCTTTTGTAGATGAAAATATCAAATTATGATCAAGATATCCAAAAAATACTTTTATATTTGCCTCCTGACGCTTAACAGCGAAATAACGATGACCTATATCAACGGTAAGTCTTTATTATCAGAGCAAGTTCCCTAATATTACTGGTACCTGATCACACGGTTAGTTTCAGACTCTTAATCTTGATTTGAACCTTACCAGCTTTTATTCATCGTCTGCTCTACATACTCATGCAATTTCTTCGAAATTTGGACAAGCGATCTTTTTCGTTCTTACGGGCACCAGATGGAGTGTACCAGTCAACACGAAAGCAAACAACCTTCACTTTTTCATATGGTTTCGTTTGCCGATGTACATTAAAAATAATTAAAATTTGCGTCTCTGCCTGTGTTTACGACTAAATGGTGAAATACATACTGCTCTAGAGTTGTTCATCGGTACCCCGCGTACGGGACCCCCAAAGAAATATGTTGGCGAGAAACGATTTCGCGAACCAGGCTACGTAGAGGGCTGAAACTTTGCAGGGATATTCTCTATGCACGTGCGAGATAAAAATTTTAAACTCATTCCTCTAGCTCCCCAACCACAGCCTCAAGCAGCTCCTGAACCGAAAAATCGTCAGCAACTCGGGCCTGAACAGCAATTGTATATGCAAATGAACATGGATTTTTTGAAAAGCGACCGTTCGAACAATACTTTCAGTTTTTAATGAATTGAAAATTTGCATATTTTCAAAAAAGTCGTTCGCAGCTCGGACCTTAACCGCAGTAGTATATGTAAATGAACGTGCATTTTTTGACAAACGACCGCTCGAGCAATACTTCCACTTTTTAGTG